TTGGCTAAATCCTTTAAGAATTATTTTGAATATGAAAAGCTGAATTAGGAGAATCATTATATTTTCTATAAAATGGTTTTAAAAGTGGGTTGTTTAGTCTATTCCAATATGTTTACCACGATTATCTATCGTAGATTTTAATTAACGAATTATGACTAATAATCTAGCATTTGGCTTAATTTGGCTTTTTATGTTATAGATTTCTTGGGATAGATTTTTACATGTCGATCTTTTTTTGCCTCAATAATCCTCACAGAAGAAAATTGACATCTTAGAGTTCATAATCAAATACTGTAAATATTATGGTATGTAAAACAAGTATTTGATTATGTTAGCTAGAAGTGATTGAAATATTAACGTATGTAATTACTTTGCTACTCTCTACTTTGAGATAACTTATATTTTAGTTCAGCTAGCCTTTGTTAGTTCATCATGTCTATTTAAACCTGAAATCAGACAATATTTAAAATCGTTAGTTTAAAGACTGTCAGGTGTGATCTATAACGTAATTCGGCTTTAGTTATACTACAGCTTCTAATTTACTTATCATTAAAAGTGAAAAAGACAATGAGAGCACTTATTATTCTGGCAGAATACGATAGAACGACACTTGATGGGTTAAAATTCTATTCGTTAAATAAATGTCCCAACTGTATACCTTCGTTGACATGTTTATGAGACTTCTAAGACAATAATTATGTACATTAGCTTCGCTTTTGTGAATAGCCCCATTTTAATTTCTCCTTTTGATGGAGTTTTGTTCTCTGAGCTGGATGGTTTGGTCGCGGAACTTTCATCGTTCTTCTGAACGACATCATCAGCACGAACTTCAGATTGAAGTAAAGCGTTCGAATTTCTCCATATGTGTTTCTCCTTCTCATTCAGTCTTTCATATAACTAAAAACCTAGCATTATAAATTATCATGATTTATAACAAACACTTCACAGACTATTTTTTTTCGATGAATTTATATTCTCTGGGATAAACTGCTTAATCCTAAAGTTCACATTGTTTTTCCAATAAGTATAATCGGAAGATATTTTAATAGGGAATGAGATATCACAATTTATCTATTAGTGACTGATACCTATTTCTGCCAAAATTGTATTCAACTAGTTCTTAACAATAACTTTGCAGTTCCTACTTTCTCATCTCTTCGTTATACACCAATGCTCTACAAAACAAATATGTCTGATGTTGAGGTATCGATAAGTGGTTCTAAAGAAATATTTTCACTATCATTGATACACATAATTGTAGTTGTGTTATTCTAAATTGGTCTGTTAATTTATACTACACAAATATTACTTATTGCAAAAATGGCCATCTTAATTTACAAAAATAAGCTGTCTTGAATTCATAACCTTTCATTCATTGAATGCCAACTAGTTATACTCTATGACTTTATAACGCGAATTCCTTGTTATTACATATTATCCATAGCTAGAATGTATTTGGAGCTAGTAGTTTTATTGGTTTGTCAAGTACATAAATATAATGATATTGAGTCTAAACATTTTAGACATAGTTAGGCTTAAATTTTTTAACAAAGGAAGCTTTATTAAGTAATTTTCATTTAATGCTATTTGGTTCTGCACTGCAGTAAAGGTGCAAAAATGATAATTTTAATTATTAAAAGTACATTATACAACAGGTTAATTTACCATTGACTTAGAACCATAGTTTTTATTGAAATAATCAGTAAAGGTAAATTCTGTAGTTTATTACGATATAATAAAATCATCTGGTAAAGAGATAGCCTCTAATGCAGATTGGTACTAGCTAAATAATATTCAGTAATTTGAAGAAATTGATAAAGTTTGAGACCCTTAATAAGTATACATTTATAATCCTAGGAAAAAACAAATGTAAAGCCTTTAGTTTTCACCTTAATCATGATACAATTTAGTCATTGGACATAACTCTAATGACCTGGATGGTGTAACTCAACGGGTTATGTCTCTTTTAACTTTAGGCCTTCCAAGTGGGAGCTCGCCTCTTAAAGTTTATTATCATGTCAGTGTCTCTTTCAAAGAAGTGTGCTAATGTCACTGGGTCGTAACTTCAGCGAAGTTTTTGATACAAATCACTTTGTGATTGTATCGCTCAATTTCGTGGATTGGTTGAAGTAAGACATTAACATCGTCGGATGCCGGCTTGGTGGTCTAGAGGTTAAGCGCTCGCGCGTGAAACTGATAGGTCCTGGGCTCGAAACCTGCAAGACGGGGTCGTGGATATGCATTGCTGAGGAGTCACACAATGGGACGAAGCGGCACTCCAGTGCTTCCAGGTTTTCCATGGTAGCCTAACTTCAATTGACTCATGATCTCAACTATCGAAATTGCCATATCATCCACAGAAACTCCATCTGATAAAAAATAAATCACAGTCATTCTGACACTGGTTTGATTGTTTAGTTGCGATATTTTGTAAATTGTTGTTGATTTTTAAATAAAATCAGATGAATTACCAAAGATCAAACTTGTTTTAGATCCAGAAGTTAGAAAAGTTTTTTAACACTAGTCATCATCTACATTATACACATATCAAATTTACTAGGTGATCGTTTCGCCAGTTTAGCTTCAAGTAGATAATGGGAGAAGTAATACTTTCAAATAAACAGGATAAATTAAAAACAAGTGATATAAAAGTGTATGAGTACAAGTAATGTGACGTTAAGAAACAATACCTCATTAGTTTTTGAATGAACTTCATTTTGATGTTTGATTAACTATTTTTTTTGTACAGTCACCTTGGCTATATCAAACATATGCCGGTAGAAGTCTTTGTTTTTTTGTAATATCGGTATCTTCGTCTTTTTGTAAACAATACTGTTTTGAGAATTTTGTGACTTGTCAAAATCTAGTCTTTTTTCAGAGAGAAATATTACTCTTCTACAAATCGATAATGTATAGTGTATGAAATGAAGATTTTTATATAAAAGAAAAGATGTTAACCGAAGTTTAGCTAAAACACGGTTCTATATCGATGTGCAAGATAAGGAGAGAGATTGTACAAACTTCTTTTGAGTACAAAAGTTAGGTTTGTGGATAAAGACTTCAACAGCTTAAGCAGTATACGAAAGACGACCTTAAAAGCTTTATTATGGTTAACTTTAAGTTCTGTCCCCACTAAGTGATAACGCTTACCTTTCCTTTGCTCAACTAAAACGGTAAGGTCATTTTCAGCCAGATCAGTGCGCGTACCTGTTAATATTTGTGTTTTCTGAAGTAACATTCATAAATTGTTTTGAATACCATGATTCATCAGACATTGGTCAGTATCAAAGTTCTATCTTCAGACAAGTTAATTCGTAGCTAAAAAGGTCATTTTAAATAATCATGACCTTATTACTACCCATAGTGATTCAGTCTACTACAAGATGTACAATTATCTTTTAGTTCTACAAAAGTTTAAACCGTTTTGGTTAGTACTTGAAGATTATTTGTTTTAAGGAATTGGTTACTACATAACATTTATCAAAATGTGTAACTACAACTTGCGTAGTTATATTTTTCTGAGTATAATTAAGGTGAAACCTAACTAGTTTATAGTAACGTGCTCCCATCAAAGCTAAGTTTTTGTAGGTGTACATTGTCTAATATTCTCGAACCATAGTGAGATAAATGGTTAAAATAATTCAATTTTTTATCGGTTTTAGCTAATGTTATAACTTCAGCAGTTACTTTCTTCCTTTATACGTAAATAATTATCGTTTTATAAGATAATACAACAGAAAAAGGAATATTTCTGATTATCTTAGGTTCTAATATGTTCAAAATACCGTTTTATTCAAAGGTCGTACAGTAATACCTGCTACTTTTTCTGTAGTTAATCATCAGTTGAATCTTATATTGAAATGTATATTGTAAAACGTTTTATGGAATGTATTTCTATTATTCCTATTATCACAATGTAACATGAAATCATGACACAACTTTAAGCCTTCATTAACTGATGTATTTTCACTATTGAGTCTAATCTAAGAAATAGAAGCACTTAAATTTATAAATGATGTTTAGATAGAAGCTGTAATTGTACAATTTTATGAATTATAAAAGATTCAAAATATATTTCTATTTAAATAGTTTAGCTATGGTTTCATTGAATCGCTGTATGAAATGTTTATTTACCTTAGTGTATATTGAATAGAATAATTAGTTTAGATTGGTCTAAGCCTTTAACCTTAATTAGTATTAATTTTATTTGTACAAATCAAGTTTACATTAGTGATATTTAGCTGGATTAACTACAGATCATAATAAATTCATAATTTAATACAATGAATTTGTTAAAATATACAATGAATTTGATAATTGATAGTTTTAAGCAACTGTTGAAAATCTTTATTCTGAAAGCTCGCTCAATGGCCACAGTTTGTTTTTCTTACAATATTTTGTGGGAATTAATATTTTCGTTTTAATTATTGATTTGCTTTTACGGTTGTATATTTTACTTTCAGGACTCAGTAGCTAAGTGGGTAACGCGATCACGTTTGAAGTTAATGGTACTGGGTTCGAGTCTCAGAGTGAACACCAACTCTGGGATGGAGATACATCCAGCTGACGAGTCCCAAATAGGGGGAAACGCACGTCCTGGATTTCACTGCTAGTCACTATATTTCACTTTCCTAATGTATAATATCGCTGATGAATTAAGTTTTAAACTATGTTATTAATAAGTGTTAGGGATTATTACAGTAGATAATAGTATATTACTTGTGCTCATATCCTAATTGATATGTTATTTCAAGAAGCCAGTTATTTATATTTAAATTACCTGCTGTGAGGTAAGAATTTAAAACCTAGATTTACAGCTTGTTCCTTTAATTATCAAAGAAAACTGAGAATAGTCAAAATAGGAAATTTTAATACTAAACAGCAATAAAAGTTTGGCAGATTTTTTTTCGAACAGAAGTTTTTTTATCGACTCTTAACTGAATACTAAGGGTATGTAATAGTCTTGAATTCATTCATATTTTTTTAAATTATAGCATAAAATGACAAGAACGAATTTATTCACATTTGGTGTCCCCAAGATTATATTCTATATTGGGTTATTATGTGGATATATATTAGATAAAACAGTAATAACTAAAACAATTTACAATTATGATATATCAACCGAACCAAGAAAATCTCATCGACAGAAGCAGTTGTTAAAGTCAATCCATGTGCCAGAAATCGGTTTTGATGTTTATGGAGAATTTCCAACAATTAAGCACTTTGATTTATTTGATGATGAGTTAACTTCGAAATATCAAAAAACGCCACAATTTCTAAAATCACGAGAAAAGCGTGACTTACAAAATCCAGAGGAAAATTTTTTAAGTGGTAAGACATATGACTTTTTTGGAAAGATAACTTAGTGTTTTGGGACTGATATGATACTTATACTAGATAATCTAGCCTAAACACCCTTTATGTAGTCTTCAGTATTTCATCTACGATTTGATTTGGTCTAACTAAGTAAAGTTCAAGCTAATTTAATTAATACAGGTGTATACAAATGCAGTTTTAAGCTTAGAAATCGTGATCGATTGTGTTCAATCTTTTAGTAACAAATGCTTTAGAAATTTTACGTGTTCTTACCTATATAAGTTGTATTGACTTCAGAGACCGACTTATATGCTTGAATAGGAAAATAGTCCAATTTGCTTTTAAGCAAGTAAACTGTTAATCAAAGCTGATTGTACCGCATGTACTTTAAAAGACTGATATAGGTTGTATTAAATGTAACAGTACCACTGATATAATATTATTTATGTAATCATTTCAACTATAACGATGATTGACTAACTTGTCATTTAATCTCTATTTATGCAATAAGGGTAATAAATAATTCCTTCATTAAATAGAAAGACATTTAATAGTAGTATGGATTAAGATAAGACACTTGGAAGATGAACCTGAATAAATGTTATGTCTGGTCGTCGCTGATTGCTGCGCCGAAAAAAACGCTGATCACTTGTACTTGGAACGAGGGACCTCTGCAATTCCCACGACGCAAAGTAAGAACACAAGACTGGTATAAGTGAAGATTTATTAGCCCCAAAACACTATGACAACGACGAATGCGATGATGAATAAAACTCATATTGTGTAAATCAATCGAAAATTGACTTTTCGTCCCATCATATCAATGAATAAATCTTCGTGAATGTATATCTAATAAAGATGTTCTTTGTATACATGTCTAAAAAATAGTTTAAACTATTTTGATGTAGATTCACTTTTATAGTCTTGTTTATTAAATATCATAACCATTCAATAGGCAAGTTAATATATCAATAATATTAGATCAATATAACTGAAATATTACTATCATTCTGATGATTTCGGTTTGTCTTTTTAGATAAACATTCAGTTTTGATTAAAAGTAGAATTCATTCTCCATTGAAGAATTGGGATGATAAATTAACTGATCCACAATCTAAAATATACAAACTGTTGTCAACTAGTTATTGTGAATTTGTAAGTAATATGTATCATATCTGAATAAAAAATGGTTATAAAATGTTTGATTACTTGGTAACTAGATAAGAAATTTAATTATTTCTTTTAATAAAAGTTATAGAGTAATTATGAATATTCTATGTATTCGTTATGAACAGAGTAAATACACATGTTGTTAGTAAAAAAAGGTGTGCAATATTTAAAGAAAATTAAATGAAAAACATCAAAAACGTACGTTATGTTATCGGATTGCAGTTGTCTTCTTTATCTGATTTAACTTCATCCGAATCTTATGATTTAAAGGAATGAGTGACTGCTACAAATATATGACAATATCTCCCATACATACGTCTTAGGTTAATAATTCTAATTAACAGACGGCATAATTATAACCGTACCACAGTTCACTCAGAAGATAGTTAATGTTGAACTAAAATGTTTAATAATAAATTCACTTAACTACTGCGTTACTTACTTACTTACGCCCGTTACTCCTCGTGAAGGAGCATAGGCCGCCGACCAGCATTCTCCAACCCACTCTGTCCTGGGCCTTCTTTTCAAGTTTCATCCAATTCTTGTTCATTTGTCCCATGTCTATCTCTATTTCCCGGCGTGATGTGTTCTTTGGTCTTCGTCTTTTCCTTTGGCCTTGAGAATTCCATGTGAGGACTTGTCTTGTGACGCGGTTGGGTGCTTTCCTCAATGTGTGTCCTATCCACTTCCAGCTCTTCTTCCTGATTTTTTCCTCCACTGGAATCCGGTTTGTTCTCTCCCATAGTAGGTTGTTGTTAATAGTGTCCGGCCAACGGATCCGAAGTATTTTGCGTAGACAACTGTTAATAAACACCTGTATCTTCTGGATAATAGCTTTCGTGGTTTTCCAGGTTTCCGCCCCATACAGTAGAACTGTTTTGACATTTATATTGAAAATTCTGACTTTGGTGTTAGTTGCCAATTAACTACTGCGTATAACACAGATATTAGTGTTAAGTATTAGTGGAGACTGAAATATTTACTTGCTTCACTTTTTAAGATTGTCTTATAAAAAAATTCGACTAACAAATTTCATCATTTCAATTATGTTTTGTTACGCAACTAATTTCTTTCCACAAAAGTTGTTTAATGATATTCAATCATTTATTCTACGATGGTTTTATTCAATTTTCAATTTTTTTTCTGTTAAAAAAATAGTTGCTACAAAGTTTTCGGCATGCGAATACAAGTCAATTTAAACAACCAAAATGTACATTTATAGAATTCACAAAAGGTTCTATTATACTCAACGCAATGTTAACATTTAACGAAGCTAATTATTCATTATTATCTCCACAAGACCTATCAAATTTATTGATAAAAGGCAGTAAAGAATTAATAAATTCCATTATGAATGATAAAACATTTTCTTTAGGATTTAATTTTAATGGAGATTTTTCACTTAGATGTAAGTTTTACTATTTTATTTCTTTGTATTTAATATAAGTGAATGCTAAATGGATAGAAAAAAACTGTTACTATCGACATATAAAATAAAAAAATGCTACTTGACTAATAGTTTTATTGTATTCCATATATCTTATAAAATGTTTTTCTGTTGAATTTATTTGAATAGGCAGTGTAAGGGGATCAGTTGTAAGGGGATATAGAAATTAAACAAAATATAGTAACACAAATGACTTCATGCTTTATTAATACATGAATCACAGTTATTCTTCTTATTCAGCATTCAGTCAGTCAGTCAGCTACAACGTAGGACTAGGCACATATATGCCATACCGCATTAGCACAGCAAGATGAACATCGGATTCATAGGAGTGGTTAAGTCAATGGTGGTAATATATAAAAGAAAGATTGCATATAAGGATATAGTACAGGAAGAAAGTTAGATATGAAATAAAATTCAGTCTTATTGTTCAAGGTAAGACAGAGGGTGTATACACTTACGCTACTGTGATCGATTCTGAGCCATGTCACCAAGAGTCTCCAACCATTGGTTACGATAGTCACGCGGACCCCAACCATGTAGTCTGCATCTATCAACATGGCTCAAACCAGAAGTTAGTGTCTTTACGCACTGATGCCACGTTTTGGTTTGGCCGCCCCTAACTTTCTTCCAATTATCCTTAACACCAGTGAGCATTGCGCGTCGTGGTAATCGGTGTTCAGGCATACGCAACATTATGAATTTAATACTACATTCAGTTATTTCATTCGCAACGGTAATATTGTAAGAAACATGTGTTTATATTGCTCAGAAGACAAACAGACTATTTTAGAAGTGAATACAATGTTCTTTCTGGATTCTTTTTAATCTCATGATATATAATGATGATCAACCGATATCAACTTTAACATTTTTTTCTAAAATCAAGAACAATTTATCATTATCATATCAAGCAATTATTGTGGGATTGCTGATTAAATGTCATCAGATACTTCAACAGATTTAGGGCAGATGATTTTCAAGTATTAATGTCTTATTCCTTGACTGAAATAAAAATTTTGTTACTGTAATAAGTTCAAAACTGTTCTCAGAATAAACTAACTCCACTTATGTATATTATTTAATGCATTTTGAGGCAATTTGCACCATACAGTTGTTCAATACTAGGAAACCTAATGTTGTCTAATTACCACGGCTTACTGAAAGATACTAATCAAGTTAGTAATGTAGTTCCCATCGTAAACTAGTTTCATTTTTGTTGGTTGGAAACAATAAATGATCTTGTAAATGTTGATGGAACTTGGCGTCTGACGTTTCGGAAGTCGATGGATGACTCTGTATACAAGACAACACATTTCTCAAGTACAAACATTTCTATCTGTCAGTCAACGTTTTGGTTAACATCTGACGGAAGAACAAATGAATATTTTCTAATCATAGCCTCTACAATTTTATTTTCAATTAAAGATCGATGGAATAATCACATACCCTCTCTATGACATTTTTAATTAAAAGTACCTGACATAAAAGGTGATGAGAGTTTGGATACCTTTGCATTATTGAATTGGCTATCGTCGGTGAATCCCAAGGAGGCCTCGATCATTAGTTGAAAGTTTGAAGAATGGTACAAATTTAGAGAGCAGTGTTGAAGTTGCGATATGGTTTGAGATAACCATTATATTTACAGCTAAGACCAAAATTTGATAATGAAATAAATTTTCCTTATTACTTTGTTTGTCCCATCAAAACCAACCACATTCACGAAACACGTAGTCAAATTATTTGATCCGTAGTGACGAAGAAAAATTGCTTCAGATTATCATCTTCATTCATCTGATATGTGCAAAACTCATCCTTTCACTTCCCCGTAATCCCCTACATTTCATAAATATAAATGTACATATTGCTAACTTGGGAGATTGGTATTTGTGAACATATTGAAGACATACTACGGATTTGAATGGTTTTAGTAAAACTGGTATACAAAGTGTACGACATTAAAAGCTTCCATCTCTCGAATAAGCAGATGTTGGACAATCCCAAATTTTGCATCAGTTAATATCCTGGTTCATGTATTGTTGTCGTAGATTAGGAAATTCCATTAATGATTGTGATATTAAAATGATTATTCTCTTTAATATCACTCTGCCAAAAGTAATAAGCAATAACTTCCTTTTTAAAATATTGATTTCATTAGGCAAGAGAAGCGGAAAATATTTTTAAAATGGGATGAAAAACGTGTTTTAGGAAAAAAACAGAAATCACTGGGACATAAATGTCATTCCAACTTGGATCTAGATTTCATATTAGATGAGGTACTCCTTGCCTTAATAATGTCAGAATCTAAAAGAGATATCAAAAAGATGGTTTATTTCATAATTGACTTAAAAATTAATAACAAAAGAGGGTTTTTTCGTTAATTCAAGTGAGTAGTAAATATTACGTAATGCAAAACGCTGATGAGGACACTTTTATCTGTCTAAAGAAATTTCGTCCAACTAAACTTTTAACATCTATTGAGTCCATGTACATAACCAAGTAAAAATTATTAAGTTATGTATACTCGATAATTGAATTCATATACTAAGAGAGTTTTTGGTTAATAATATGCTCGATGAAGTATTACTAGGCAATTAGATACCAAGACTCATTTAACCAGTCAAGAATAAAAACTTTCATTAAAGAAAATGAGATTAAATAGATATAACCATGACCAGTGAAAAGAAATGGAATGTTTTAAAAAATATTCAGCGCACGGCTAAGATGATTGACTACATTCAAAAGTTTCTTTGTATAATTGTAACCAATATTATAATTAGTACGACTGAATTACTGGGAAATATTTATTTATTTCATTTGTTCTCTCTATGAAAGGATATAAAAATAATTATTAGTCATTAATATTTAATTAATTTATTGTTTAATTAAATTTAGTGATTGAAATAAAAGAAGAAAGTACTGTATTACTTCCAACATCACAACCGTTATCATCATCATCATCATCATCATCATCATCATCATCATCATCATCATCATCATCATCATCATCATCATCATCATCATTACCACTTTCGATCACGACGAAGACGACAGCAACAACAATGATTGACGCAAATGAAACGTACTCATACATGAGGAGTTCTATAAATGAAATTCAATCGAGTGGTATGTTTACATAATCCAATTACAATTTCACTCGTAATTAGATATATGTGAAATAATTTTCATCAATTTGATTTAAAAAATATACCCATTAAATCATAAAAGAATTTATTCAGCAAAGGTATTATTTATAACGTGTTCATTCTCAATGCTGCACAATCGTATATATATATATATAGTGACATATCTCTCAGAATTTGATTAGTTTTATTGTGAAATTTAACTACATTACTTTAAGTAAACGTACACATTTGAATGGAGGAACTTCATGAAAATTGCTTGACATGACCTCTATTCAGCTTATCTTGTTACATTTAACCATACTACTTATAAATAGTAAGTAGTTCAAGTAATTATTACCATTTCTGAAGCTTGTTAACTGTGGTGAGTGGGTGATTACCGATTCTCGTAAAAGCTAATGAAAAATTACCACATTGAAGGGTTTATTGTTATCTATGTAAAAAACTCATAGTTTATTGGGGAATGGCAGAAAACTAATGAAATTGACCTATATTTTACAAGCATGTATAGCTTAACTTTTCAAGTACTTATCAGTGCACATATTTGGATTCTTTTAACACAGTCTTTAAACGACTACGAATTACTGAGTCATTTCTTTATGTTTGTGTATGCTATGTATTTTAGTTACTGAATTTCTAATTTTTCCGTTTTTTGCAAGAAGAAGTGCAGTGTAAGATAATATGTAAAGGGAATTCCAGTTTTCTCCAGTTATCTACCTGAGACAATGGCTGAAGAGTTGTGCAGAATCGTGAACCGATTGATGTTAGACATTAACACCGTTGAATGCCAGCTCAATGGTATAGAGGTTAAGGGTTCGCGTGCAAGGTCAGAGGTCCCGAATTCGAGTTCCGCGTGCGGGACCGTGGACATTTCTAAGGAGTCTCATGTTAGAACGAAATGGCCATCCAGTGCTCTCGGGTTTTCAGTGGCGATCTAGCTCAGATCGAAAAATGAATTAAACCATTAAAATTACTAATCTCCACAAATCCCCAATCTGATTACAAACAAATAAATTTTCGTTAGTATTATATCAGTGTCTGTTATCCAGTTAGAAATCATGTTAGGCATGATTTGTCCTACATCCTAAGATCATTTGTAAATATATGGAATGAAAAATAATTTAATGATCATAAAAATTCGGTACGTTGGGTAAAACTGTTTGATCATTTTAAATTGAAAGATAAATTAATTAGTAAAATACATTCACAGATTGTTTCGTTACATGAACGTCATTATTATCCGATCAGTTAACTGTTCTTTCTATTCAGATGATCAATGTGAATACATACTAGTCAAATTAGTAATAAGTTGATTTGTTCATTGTTTATTAAAAGTTATCTGTATCTGATTTTGATTTATATTTGATAAATTAAACCTATAAGTTGAATAAGAAATTTCATTTAATGGTAAACAATAATGTTTATGCTTTGAATTTACTTCAGTGGATTCTAACAGTAATTTTATGGATACTGAACAATCATTGGCATCAACATTATCTTATGGTGAAACCATAGATACGATGACGTATAGTGTAGGTAGGTTCATAAAATGTTACCATTTATGTGTCTGTGAGTGTCATACTAAGGTTTGGTAAGGTTATTTAACTTATTTATGTTTACTTTGATGATAGACATTGTCAATATGAATGTAAGATGTGATGTAAAAGATTATTTACTTTCATGATGCTAGAATCAGCTGTGTTAGATATAAGACAATGCGCAAATGGTTTGATCATTTTATCGTTCGTTAGAATGATTCATCAGGAACTTCTCATTTTTTTTCTTGAGATTCAAGTTCTGTTGGTTGCAAAAATATTTCGTCTCAAAATGGTTTGATTGTTAAAATGTTTTGGCCATATTCATAACTAGTTAACAGGATAATTAAACAATATTCACATGACTTTGTCTTCTATTAGAGCAGTAGTGTGATTTCTTTGTAAACGAAACTGTTGGTCATAATGCAATTATTTATTGAATGTCCCATTAGTTTTCAAAAGCATGGATAAAAAAGTCATACTTGTTTTAAACACGGTAATTAAGCCCCATTACCTTACAATATCAATGGAAGTGCTGTACAGAAAAGGCAAATCTTATAGTTGTATTTTCATGAAAAACCTAATAATAAAGAAATAAAAGTCAATCATATATTTAAGTTATTATTAATTAATTTAGCTCATATTTCAACATATGCTTTAAAAAATTCAGTTCTGAGTAGTCAAAGTGAGAAACTACAATCCCTACTAACTATCAACACCATTTAACAACTTATAGTTTTAGCTCTTAATCTGAGTATAATACAACCACCATACACTTTCATCAACGAGTAAGATAGGATAAGACAGATGAATAAATAGTTTGTGTAATTCTATATATAAAACTGCACAATACGAATGTGGATCGTTAAATCTCGACTCAGTGGTATAAATGAATAGTATTAACTGGGACATCTGAAGGTTCTAATTTCCATTCTGCCTACGGGAGTTGATAGACACTCCTCAAAATTTATAAACTGGAAACCAAAAGCTGTATTTTGTTCCTCATTTACCAATAGTTTCCTATTTAATGTAAGTGCTCAATTAATACTGACTTCGAAAATGGATAACTGAATCCAGGTTAAGCTATGTGTTACTATGTTGTGACTAAAATAATTCTTATAATATGCAATCGTTTGAACTTCGGTGTTATGGTAACGTTTTCCTAGCTAATACCTTTCCATGAACTTCGCACATCCTAGGAAACATGACCACTATCAACCTTATTTAGTTTAACTAAACATCACTTCCGGTAATTATTTTTTTCAATAATTCAAATAATTCGATTCACTTATGGCTTTAGAACAATATAATTATATGCAGAATAGAGGGAATGCAATTAGCAGTGAGACTCAAGACGCGTGTTTCGTCAATTGATGTCCACTCCAAAATTTGAGTGCGGGACCTTTCGATTCAAATATCAACTCGTTCAGATCACCATTCACCTGTAAGAAAGGTATGGTACTAAACCAGTGCCCTAAATTTCACTGGTAGCGACATCCATCAATTCCATAGAAACTTGTGCCATAGTGGCTATATTGTGGCAATCTACAGATTATGCACTGGTGCTAACCAAGAGTGACCAAATTTCAGTCAAAATATCATCAAAAGGATAATCCAAATCGTTATCAATTAAATTAATTACATGTTTGCTCTTACGTATGAATGAGGTTGATGAATAAAAAATAATTAACCCGATTCAGTGAATATTCATTTCTAATCATTTCTTTTTTAAAGCTTTGAATTTTACAATTCGAGGAAGTAATAGTTCACTAACATGGGATGATGATCTACTGAACACTACTTCCACCACTTATCAAGAACTATCTCGAAATGTTTGTGAACTAGTAAGTAGATTTAATTCTTGGAAATATTAGTAACATTTGGTTTGTTCTGATGACTCGTTTGAGTGAAAGAAGTGTTTCGTTGTCCGTTTTTTTTCTCAACAAACCAGTCAATTTTTACCAAAAACACACATCTGACTTTAACTAGAAAGTATTTATATTTATTTATGAACTATAAAATAGTCAACAAATATCTAAAATGCATATCAGTAGTGTCGAGGTACTTCTGTAATAATTTTTAAATTTTAAGTAACCCTAGTTAGATGTTTAACAGTTTTCAAGTTACTGAAATACAGAACACTAAGTAAATCAGTTATGATTATTTTATATGTTGAGTATTTATTTGGTGATTACCTATCAAGAACAATGTCCAAATAATTGACCTAGGTCAAATAAATTATGCAACTCATTTTTAAGGAGTATTACAAAACTTTTAGTTTTTATACAGATCATAAACCAACCAATGCTGGACCATCACTGAAAACCTGGAAACACTGGACGACTGTTTCGTCCTAGTGCGAGATTCCTGGGCAGTTCACTTCCGTGATCATGTGCTCATTATTGACTAGCTTCAATAGGTAATTTTTGGAGTTCTAGTGGGAATCCATGATCGATGGATTCCAATCCGTGTCGGGTATAAAGCAGTTACCCACCGAAGACAATAGAAGACGGTTGCACAATGTCTTGGATTGGTTGAAGTTAGACATTAACGCCGTTGGATGACGACTTAGTGGTCTAGATGTTAAGCGTTTCAACGAGACAATGGAATTTTCACCGTTATTTTAAAACTATAACTAAATAACCACACAAACGATTTTGTTGTGTATAGCAAAAGTGGATCATGGTAAATCTAAAGTCTTTATTTAAACTAAAATTCAATTGAGTTTAAGTTATGCGAATGAGACTCTGGGTGTAGCAATGTGTACTTACGTTGAAGGGAAAATATATTATAACATCGTTAATCAATCTCATCATCATACGATGAGGCCACTGACTTTTATTAAGTACTAGTCGTTGGCTCGACTGTAATGATTATTTCACAACTATGAACAGCCATGTGAATCAGTTATTATAGATTAACACCATCTAAACTGTGTGTAGAGACTAAGTGTCGACTATTTATTTACCTTAAACAATTTAATCCAATGTTGTTATTACTTATTTGTTTTACATTAAGATTTTATAATATAAATAATGTTATCTATACTAGTGTTATTATTCATTGTTACACATTTAACTAAATAAAATAATCATCAACTCAAATATCAGAGTTAACAAAGATCATCCAAAATCCAAGTGATAAACTGCTATCACAGTCTATTCATCAGTTATTGCCTTTTCATTGATCCTCGGAAGTGTACCAACAAATTACAAACTTGAACAGAATTTCGTTGGTGACAGAATAGTTTCTAAATTGAAAAAGTCTAAAAGTGAAATTATTACAAGGTGGAGCAATAAAAAGAATATAATTTATAGAAAGTAGATAAAATAAACAATATTAAGCCATTATTAGTGACATTACCTCAGTTTTACGTAATACGACAATTATTAGAACAATGTTTCTAACTTTAGGTGCATTTAGATAATCCAAGAGCACTTAATTTCATAAAAATAATTTGATAAACTATAATTACTAATAGCAATCCATCCACACGCAAAGCTGGATAGTGAATAGCAGTGGAATCTAAGACGCGCGTTTTTCTAAGCGAACGGTACTAGATTTGAGTCACAGAGTGAACATCAACTCTGAGATGGAGGTACATCCAGCTGACGAGTCCCAAATAGGACGAAATGCGCGTCCTGGATTCCACTGCTAGCCACTATTCATCTTTGCTTATAAAAGCTTGTAAATTAAGGCGACATCGAGGCAATACGCATAGTATGCACATATGCCAATAACAGACTGATCAATCGCAGTCCTAAACATCAATGGGATCATTCAAATAGTTCATCCATGCATTTTAATAAGTATCAGACTACAAAATTTTTGTTTGTTAACAGTATAAGTTTTTGTGTTTTAAATGAATCTCTGATCTGAAGATATTCATTTTATGAATGATAAGAGACTGAATATAATAGTTTATTTGCAATGTGTTGTTTGGTTCCCATTTTTAAGAAGTGCTAAATGTTTTTTGACCGATGATGAGCCGACCTCTCATAGCCTTACTATATCAGCTCTTCCTGCTGTAAGAAATAGGTTTGACTGTAGGAATTGAACAAGGCAATGCATCAATTAGTGTAGGGTTAGATTCGTCGTTAAATATATGTAAATCTTAACAAATATTAACAATAAACGGCCCATAATTGCAAATTAAATACAATAATCTATACGGGAAGTATAATTTAACACACCCGCGACACATTATAGTTTGTTATTTTACTTTATCATGAGCGTACATAGCAGTTACGGACTAATTTATGTGTAATACTATGTTCAAATCTCTTAGAATAATTAATTTTACTCGTACATTATAAAGAAATACTATATTGGGCATCGGACAAATACTAAACAGAATAAACTCAAGAAGATTCAGACATAACTTCGACCGATAACTCATGTATAAATCAGAAAGTGATACTATGAAATTTCCAGTATTGAAATTAGTTTTACTGTAAACAATATGATGTTCAGTGATGTAAATAAAAATTGATCAAATATATCACCTTTAACTATACTAATCATTTATTTGTAATCCTTCTATTATATATGGAATATTTAGTAGATATATTAAAATTATTTAAAATAATTAACAAAGTATAATTATTTTCTAATGAGATCTACAAATTTCAAAATAACACTGTGATTATAATGCATTATCTACATCCAAAGTGTTTTGATAATAGAATGATCTACTTTGAATAATTCTATTTCTATTTAACCATGGATACAATTCACACAGTTTCGCTTAAGTTTCTAATATCCAACTTTGTTAAAAAGCAGTATGTAATATATATATATATATATATATATATATATATATATATATATATAATACAAGAGTTATTTATCTAATAACTTTTAAATGCTTTATCAAACTTCTTCAATTTATTGTTTTTTAATTAACGATTAATTTCTTAGTTTTCATATACTAATACTTAAAATCTTGAGTGATGTAACGGATTTTTCCTGTGAGTCGTTATGGAGATTACAATGAAATACAACTCATTTGTTGTATTCTACATAAGTTGTTATTCTTGTTTGTTTTGTAATAGAAACTTATTCATATTATCAGAAAGAATTGAGCGAATCAGGCACATCTAACATTGGAACAAACATTGAAACGTGATATATTTAAGTATTAGTATTTACCTAAGTAAAACCATGTGTTTACTGAGCGCAGTTATATGTTTTTTTAAAACTACAAAAAATTGTTCAATCTTAATAGCAGTCGGTTTTTTTGATTGATTTCTTTTACTGTTTGACGTCTATTAGCATCAGAACCAAGACCTGTAGTAAAGCACAGTGTGTAATCGACAGATGTTAAGAATTTCATAATGGTTTCGGGAAAACTGTAAAGTCTAGTGATTGAATGTGTTTTAGATATGAAAACACTAGGAAAATCTGTTGATTGTTGGAAGTTGTTCTACTCCAAGCTACTGATAACTGATATTAACGTCAAAATATGTAAGGTTTTAACCACGTTTATTATAGAACATATAGGAGTATGATATTCTTCAGTAGCATCACTGTTGATTATTGTCTGTCTAGTACACCAAAAAGCTGTCGTTAAAAATTTAAACATTGAAACCAAACTTAGTCTATGTTCAAGTGTATATTTTCTTTGTTTATTAATATGCAATCAAATGGATTCAACCCATTGTATGTTTTTGCCGGTCCCTATAAAGCAATGTTTTCAGCTGTCATCCAAATGACAAAGAAAGATTCAACAGATATAAGTTCAATGATTTAAATAAGACACAGAAAGGAGAATTTTGTAAATACAATAAGCTCCCATATAAATTTTTACGTCAAACTGTTGAAAATAATGTAAACAAACTACATGCTACTCAGTTGCACCATGTTAATTACGTGTTCTAATTCAGCGAAAGAATAAATTCCACTTAATACAATTAAATATGAGAAAAGTCTTCATAAATGAAAGAACTTACTTACTTACTTACTTACGCCTGTTACTCCTCGTGAAGGAGCATAGGCCGCCGACCAGCATTCTCCAACCCACTCTGTCCTGGGCCTTCTTTTCTAGTTCCATCCAATTCTTGTTCATTTGTCCCATGTCTATCTCTATTTCCCGGCGTGATGTGTTCTTTGGTGTTCCTCTTTTCCTTTGGCCTTGAGAATTCCATGTGAGGACTTGTCTTGTGACGCGGTTGGGTGCTTTCCTCAATGTGTGTCCTATCCACTTCCAGCTCTTCTTCCTGATTTTTTCCTCCACTGGAATCCGGTTTGTTCTCTCCCATAGTAGGTTGTTGTTAATAGTGTCCGGCCAACGGATCCGAAGTATTTTGCGTAGACAACTGTTAATAAACACCTGTATCTTCTGGATAATAGCTTTCGTGGTTTTCCAGGTTTCCGCCCCATACAGTAGAACTGTTTTGACATTTGTATTGAAAATCCTGCAGATTAAAGTACTTCTGAAAAGAATGTAGGAACTGTTATTTCACAGATATATCTATTGAGAAGTAAATTCATTTATTTAATATCGATAAATATTTTAAAATAAAACTTTCAGCTTTTAGCAGTCATGAGATCAATTTTATCATCTCTATGGATTGTTGAATGCGGTACTATAAAATTCAGAAAAGGGTCCATTGACGTTGATGCTGAGCTTGTTATAATTGCGAATTCATCATCATTTGTTACAACACTTGAGCCTACATCAACTGTGTTAAATGATACTAATGTAATCGAAGGAATAAATGAGTATGTTTCAACTTTGGATCAAAATAATACATTTGGAATTTACATTGATCCAAATTCAAGTATCTCATTATCATGTAAGTCATTAGAAAAATTTCCGAAATTTTACATGTATATATATTAATCGCATTCGAGTTGGCTGCACCCATTTACTTAGATTTGCTATCTGTATTTTAGCTTTACTGTGAGGTAAATTATATACGATTTCTTAAAATATCATATTCCCCTACAAAGGTGATACGTGTTAAAATGAATACATTATAAATACTTGGGGAATAATAATATCCGAGGGGAAATTAGCTTGTTGAATATATCAGGAATTTCTTGAAATCTTAGGGAATTTTCGACAATGAGGCTACACTGACCACAGGTTGAATCTCTTAACAATTTTTCTGCCAAGTAAATATTCTGTTTAATAAAGTAATAATCTACACTTAAGCTGATTATCCTTGTTGCACTATCTTGTTTTACTGTGCTTTACTTTTCTCAGTTAAGTCCTAAAAGCGATAGAAAATATTTAATTTTTTTATATTTTGAGGATGTAAACTAAATTTCTAACACTACAACAAAGGAAAACCCATCAATCAATAAATTTAGAAGACCTTACGTTGCTTGCTCGTAGTATATAAACTTTCGAAAGAAGGCGGATTTTATCTCTACTTAAGTTTATGTCAACGTCTTTGTAAATACTAGAAGATACTTCAGGAACGATCACTTAATAGGTCTAGTCATTTGATCTCATTATCTACAGTTGTCAGAACATTTCAGCATGAAGTGATAACGGAAGCACAAGTGTGTTAAATACATAAATAAATTATTTTGGATAGGTGGATGATCTCACCTGTTGTTAACAGACTTAATTAACGGTATATTTGCTTTTAATAAATAATTTCGAAATTCTCGATGACTGATTAACAAATCCAGGAAACATTAGTTGAAGTTGCTAGATATCAATTCAATCGTTTATTCATGCAGAAAATATTATTTAAGCATAATAGTTATTTGTTCTCCCTACACATGTTTGTCAAGGTCAGTGTTTGACATCTAGTTATGCTTAAATTAACTTACTCTTCTTCATAAAATCTACTTACTGATAGACTAAACAGATTAAAATTATTTGAAATAAAGGTCCGTGATTATTTACATATGTACGCTATGGTGGATACTAAAGTAGATTGCAAATATTTTCCCATTTACTGCAAAAATGGGAGTTACTGAATAAAAGTATATAAGCTATTCTGAAAGACGAGAGTATGATTTGCGTGAAACATTAAAAAGCAAATCAAATGATACATAAAATTAGTTATTTAATCGATAAGATTGTGTTATGATACATTATTTCTGAAGTAATATATGAGCCATTTTGTAGCAATAAGTATGTTTCCCGGGTTTAGCGATCTCATGAAGGGTTGATAATATGAAAATAAAACTAAGAAAAGTTTTGTACAGACAAATGTGAGAAATATGATTAAACTTCTTTATTCATATCATTTCACAAACAAAATAAATTGGTAATAATTTTGAAGAAAGCACCCCATTCAAATGAAATTCCTATATACTTGTGACAGCTAGTAAACATTTAAATGAATCGTCTAAATAGATTGCATAAGATTCTATTTTTGACTGACATTTAACTTCCATCCCTGGTAAAGCAAGATATCCAAATTTTCTGTCATTAAGCTAATTTGAAAGAATTTGTGCAAAGCAACTGTTTAGATCAGATCGATCAATCCAAGTGGTCATAGGTTACTCTATTGATTTTGTATTGACATTATCTCAGTTGCTCTCCATGTAATCCACTGATCTAGTTATAGTACGTATTGCAAAGTTGAATGATTAATTGTTAGCTAGCCATACAATTTAAATAAGTCAATGGATTAATTGAAAAAATGTTGACTCTGGGGTTTATTTCCTCATGCTTAGAGCATAACCTGTTAGGAATAAATTCAGACTATTTCAACTGGGATAATAATCACTTAAACTACACAAACTCTGCTTATTCATCTAAGTAAACGACACCTGGAATCGTGGTAAGTATTTTGAAAATTTACAGTTCCAAATAAGGAAAACATAACTCAAGAATAATAAATATAATAAATATATTTTTTGTTATATCCATATGAGTAGAAAAGTTGGAATTCCTACATTTCGTGACTTAATGTAGGCCACTTTTTCAGAGCAAATAAATAGCTATATTATGGTTATTTAAATTACTAGGCTTTTCTAACTCAGTCAATCAGAGTTCGGTCAAAGAGAGGTGAAATAAACGTCCGGTGTTAAGAATACTGCAATTTAACAACTAAGGAATGTTATTTAAGTTTTTTATTTACTTACCACTTGACATGATATCATTATAGCTTTCATATATATAATCAGTGGTCTTAAATTGACTAACAGTTAAATATAACTTTTGTATACCTTTATCTGATTGATCTCCTATATTATCATGTAATTGTTTACATTGTTTAGTGATAACAATAAGTACGGAATCAACAATACCGTATGAAAATCAGATTGTATTTGATGTCACATCATCTGAAACATTTTCGTCTTCAGATTTCCCAGTTAGTGTGTATTCAACAAGTACAGGTTAGTCATTGTTCGTTTAAAATAAATTAATTATTCATAGTAAGGAGTTTATCGGATTAAAGGTTTTATGATTCACGAAATTAAGATAGTTACATTGTGAAAATCAGTACCTGTCTACTGAAATAAAAAAGTATCAAATTCAAATGATACAAATCAGTTTTCATTCTGATTCTGAGATACAAATCCTTTTTGTTGAAGGCTAGATTACTCGGTTCTTAGATGAAGAAAAGCAATACAGATTGCATGATGAAAGAATTTATGTGTTAAATTACTCATCAATACCTAATCATTAAATTTTAACATGTTATTAATTAATTAAATCTCGCGATCTCGTTTGAATAAATTAGGTATTTTAACTTCCTTTCTTACTTGTTAAGAAGAATCAGTCACCAAACTAGTTATTTTTAAAAGGGAAATTTCGCCAGCAACTATTTTCTTAAAAACTTATTCCTACTTATATTGATAAAACGATTTATCAAATATCTACTGAAGTGTTTTCTTCACAAAGATATATAAGAACTTTGATCTTTACTCGCAAAAAGTTATTCAATTCATAATAAGCTATCTTAACATTAACCTCACTTCGTTATTTTATTTTTAACTGACATTGAAATAGGAATTAAACATTCAGATGGGTTACCGTGAACAGAAAATGTTAAAATTTTTTTTCATTCAAACAAACACATGTCATATGGAATAAATGGAATCAGTAATATTTACATAGTTTAGAACTAAATATACCTTTTTGAAGTCTCTGTTAACTAATGAATGAAATAGTTTATTTAATTTTTCGTTAAATCATAAATACAGTTATGGATATATCTTAGAAAAATATGTGATAAAGCGATTCACTTTACTGACAAAATACTGTTCACAACTTGGAATTAAATAATCTGCTAATTGTGATAACTTATTATTCTTATTTATTGTCAATAACAATATAAATTAAACATAATACTTCTGAATTATACTTTTCACTGAAATCAGACATTTTAAAAGACCAGAAGAAAATCTAAGTTAAATAGATATCCTATACTTTTGTTCCATTATTACTTTCTATGAAGCATAATCAACTTATCAAACATGAGTTTCTTGTGATTTTAACACTGGTTATCATGAAAAACAATAAACTCTAAGGCACTGAAAGGCTCATTCACCAGCTGAAAAACTAAGTTCTGTGTGAAAGTCATATATATATATATATATATATATATATATATATATATATATATATATATAATGTTGAATGATGTACTAAATGGTTATTACATTTATTCATAATTCATCTAAGAACCAAAATAACTTTCTAATATGAAGGAATAATTTACATAGACTGAGCAATACTACACTTGTATAATTAACACATAATAACATTTGAAATAATTAGAACAAAATCTATAAAATTTCATAAATCATAACACTAATTGAGTTACTATTAATAACTAAGTACCGACAAAGTTTAAACTATGACTAGTTGAAAAAGACTGAATTTATATAGAGAAATTAATCATTACAACATAAAATAAAGAAAGTAAGTAGTCTGAACTTATTCAAATCTGGATTAACATCAAACATTACTTACTTGCTTACTTACTCACGCCTGTTACCCCTCGTGGAAGAGCATAGACCGCCCACCAGCACTCTCTATCTAACCCAGTCTTGGGCAATCCTTTTCAGTTCTTCCCAATTGTTAATCATCCTTTTCATATCTGTTTCTATTTCCCGACGTAATGTGTTTTTTGGCCATCCTTTTTTCCGCTTCAGCTTCATGATTCCAATATCAAATATATATTTAAAAATATTAACTATGATAACAAACAAAATAAATATGCTTAAGAACGTAAACGTAAACTTATCCGAAGGTAAACAGGAAATAAATAAGAAGTTAAAAGAAGACAACAATAAAAAAACATATAGACAATGAAGGAAATAGCAAAAAAACTTTGAAAAGTAGTGAAATTCATTCAACATGAAGTAATGGACACGATAAAAAACATATTAGATATTGATTAAAAAAAAGAAAAAACATTACAAAATTCAAAATCATTAAAATTAACTCATTAATAGAATGTTCCTTAACTTCAAAAAAGAAAGAACAAAAAAGAAAGGAGAATAGGAAAACTGTTCCGAAAAATAAAGAACAAAAAGAAGAAAATAGAACAATGAAAAACAAATTGATGAAACAATCGAGAAGGAAAACCACACTGAAAGGAATAATACAAAAGGAATGAGAAAAATAAAATTCAAAGTCAAAAACCCTCAATAAAACAGGTAGAAGGGCTATAGAAACCAAAATAGCTACCGATACCATCACAACGATAACGATCTACACAACATCCTCTATTTCTACACCTACGTTCGGCATCCGGCCAACAGCTTCATCATAATGACGTCAACACAAACAGTAGTGTGGCTAGCACCAGCACTGGGCAATCCACACCCACAATGTCAACACATGTCAGCACGACCGACATTGCTCTGACCAGTGCAGTAACTTCGTGCACACAATATCAAAGTAGATAGTTTTCATCGCTGATCAACATATTCCAAGTATTCTGTAACTTGTCGTTCCATCTGTTTTTGTGTTTACGTTCACGTATACGATTCACAATTTTTCTTCTACTGATGTAATTCGTCGGTTCTTTCTTGGAACATTTTATACGTATTTATTTGCTGACTCCGATATTTCCTCACCGCTTTATTTTGATGTCACATCAGTTCGTGATTCCTCATTTTAGAGCTTCTTTTTTCCCATCTTATTCATAGAGAATTTCTAGCACAATTTTTATTCCTGCTATTATCATTGCTGGACCTTTTATTAAAGATTTCATTTTATTTATTTTTCAGGCGATATTTCTCCATATGATTCAGGTACGTTTAATATTTTTGCGAGTTCGGTATTTGGTCTACATCTTCTTTATATTTTCAAAGAATATCTTTTTACTTCACATTCATCATTTCTATGATTCACGATAATTTTTTTTCAGTTTACTAATTATTCTATTACTGAATTGAGTGTCGAATTTTTTACAACTAATACATCATGTTGCTTTAATAGTGTAACCTACATTCATTTAGCCAATAACTAGCATTTGTGAACATCGAATCACTGTTATTTACATGCATTAAGTTGACCTAGTTGTTGTTTCTTTCTCATCTTAACGGTAAATAACTAGTTTGTAGGAAATGTTTGATTATGGAGCTTCTGATTGTTTATGTATAAACGAAGTAATTTATGCCTAAAACAGCTTTCATCGAGAAAGAAACTTTCTGAAGTTTATTAAGTCCGCAGTTCGCCAAGTACTTTGTGAAACATTTTTTTCTCCTCATACCTCAGAACTCTCATATTCAGTATAAAGTCAGCAACTGAAAATGTATATTAATGATTAGTTATTATATTCTAGCAATAATTAGGTAATTTAGGGAGATGTTCCTCAGAATAATTACTCAAGTGTTGGAGCTAACTCCAATTATATCGTGTAAGATGGCACGCTTTACTCTATGAAATTAAGTGAAACATTCACCATATAAATAAAGCCAGAACAAATATTGATGCAGAACAATTCATAAAGGGAACAAATTGCATTCACCATATGTTTACTATATGTGAAGATCTATTCATTCAGGCCAGAAAGAAGTTTTATTAATAAACTAATAGTGAAAAAATGACAATCAGACAATATAAGACGTTAAAATATGATCTGTAAAAAGGAGAAATAGATATGGAGTATAAATGATGCTCTTCATAACTTTCACAATACTTTTAACGTACTTTTATAGAAACTGTGTATACTTTCTACTTATTCATCTAATTTAAACTTCGTTATTGAAAGAGGAGTATGGTAAAATGTTAAAACATAAAACAACAAAATACTTTTAAAATTAAGGTGGATGAAAACTTATTCTCGATAAATTGTTCAATGGACACTAGGTCATAAAGTAGCATAATATGTTTCATAGCTAAGTTCAATACACCCTTAGTCTAAGTTTCACTGAGTTTCAGTCATCAGATGAACTCACTGAAAGTAATCAAAAACAGGTAATACAAATTTAGGTTTGGGCCGCGACACATTTGCTGCAAGTTTTTGGTTGATGGTGATTGACTGACAAGGTGATCTAATCTAGTTTATTCCACCGCCATATAATAATGAAGAGACATATTAATGTAATGAAAAACTGGCTGGTGAAATACGTTTAATTTAGGTCGTATAAAGAAATATGTTGAATTCAAAGGCGAATCTACAGAAGCGATTAGAAAATTGGAAATCATTAGAGACAGACATGATGTGAGTAGTAGATTATGTGAAGTGACTAGATTGAGGCATTCAATGATTTGACCTTTTACTCACTCCAAATTGTTTACCCCTGAATTCACGTTTTCATCATTTGTGTGTTTATTTGAATTCAAGTTGCCTCCTCCAATGTTTTGTGTTTGTGTTTCTGCTTGTCCATTTGCATTGCATGTAACCAAACTCCATGTGTTCTTCTAATGAACATTTTCTTCGTTATCTATTTAAATGTTTTATAGAAGGTCCCCTCACGAAAACAGTAATAATCGGTAAGTCAAAATCTGATAAAACAGTTTGTTTTGTTACACCAATTTATTTCCCTTATTGATTGTTTTGATTCTGCTTTCCATTTCATTCATCAGTACGGTGGTCACATTGTATTACATAAACGGTTTGGTGAATTGTTCCTCTTGGAAATTCAGTGTAGCGAAGAGATGTCACGTATAGTACACTGATATATTGAAATTACTTGTCAATCAGTATTTATTGTTGAATTGCTCAGGGTCGTCTGGTCACGTTGGCCACAATCTCTGTTAAACCGAAATGATTCATAATCTTTCTAAGTGGAATAATTTAATTGTATTCGTAAAACAGCTGATAAGTACTGAAATTTACTGTAACTGTGGCAGTCACGCTATGTTCGTTTTCTGAGCGTCACTCCGGTCACAATATTGTTTCACTTATTAACCAATGTGTGTGGGTAGACATTACTACTTGATGTAGAATTCTTTATTTCCATAACAAACCACGAACATGTAGCATTCAGTGTGCATGGATGTGGGAAATCAAACAACCATCCACTTCATATTGTCCATCAGTTTGACAGATCAAAATCGAATACACTTGGATTTCTGGTGTGGAGTTGAAGAGAGACCGTTCAGTTTTGTTTTGTTATGCAGCAGTAAGTCAAATCAATATTCTCATTTCAATGAGAGGTCGCATTTAAACCAATGAACTTTGACTTGTTGGAAACTATTTAATTTCTTTTGTAGCAGTCTCATCAACGCTGACTAGATCGAACAAGTCTTTGGAGTGGAATGACAGTTTGTTGGATCCTAGTTCCGATTTATATCGAAATTATTCAACTGAAATTTGTGATTTGGTAAGCTGGTTACTGAATTCTCGATTGAATTTACATAAAAATGAGGAAAACTGATGAAATGTATAGACAACCTGTGTCTTTTGATAAAGGGTTGAAGTTTGACATTTGAAGACGGCTTTTGGAAATATCTGTAGCTATTTAATAGCTATTTATAGGACACAGAGTACTATTCAACTGTTTTATCCAACTGTGACAAATAGTACCTGTAGACATTCAAGGTGTTGTTCGGGTAGATTCCATGATCACTGTTTTATGCAATTATGGATTTAACTCGTCGTGGTTAATAGTGTCCGTTCTTCACCACTTACCATGTAGACCATATCTCGTTTCACTCCACACAAACTGATGCAGTCTCAAAACATTCTATGGTCTCCAATCACGATATTGTGCAATCAAATATAGGCGAATGTGCTGGTTTCGTTTGATTATGAATAACTTAATTACCAAAAGTAGTCAACATGGACGGCACGACTCTGTAATGGACCAGTCGTTTTGATATTGCAAGTAGTGACAACTGAGGTAACCCAGTCGATAAATATATTTACTAATCCACGAGTTTGGAAAACCAATTTGTTCTCCTTCCACGTGAATGTAAAACTTCGGTGTCGAGTACAGGGCAGTAGTGTAACCGGTTGGAATGACTATGTCTGCACATGTTTTGCTAAATGTAGCCAGTCACAGATCGCCACTGTGGTATTAGTGATGGGAGACATATAGGATGAGACACAACTATTCACACAAACGAATAAGAGGAAGTACCAGTATTAACACGTGTTGCATGATGCTGCATGACGTCGTTTGTCAGTATCAATCAGGATCTCTGGATTAGGAGTTTAGTGTGACCAACAATCGAAATATTGTGCTACAAAACTCCACCAAACTACTTGTACGACATTCATACAACAATGATTTATGTCGACGAGCTAATTTCGTCTAACCTAACATTCATGGCACCACGAGGTAGGCTCACCGAGCTAAGTGACAGTATAGCACCATTTGCCTGATGTTATAGATTATGATGTCGCACTGACTATCAACTGCGACTAACTCACGTCTTTATTCATTACTGACTATTCGATTGAAAAACCGCTGCTCATATTTCTGCGGCTCGAGATGCCGATTGATATCATGTGCTAAGATTACCAACTGGAATTCTAACTCTAATTTCTTTTCCATTCCGTGTCTACCATTTCCTCCATGACCCAGTGTCCAAGCAATGACCAACCACAGGTCTGACCCTCACCGTCCACCTTGAGGCGATGCAAGTCAAGCTCCTATTTTTCCGCTACTCGTAAGTCCTTCTTTACCTTCCAACTCGAGTCAAAGAGGGAAGTCAACAGACAACCTCTATCATTCTTATACCTCAAGCATACGCGGGCTTATATGCAAACGTGCTGGACCACATCGCACCACTGAGTGAAAACTCACAACCATACATAGACAAGCCGAAAGTGTTTGTGAATAATGCAAGCCGTAAGTAGTACACTGGCAACAATCTGGGAGTGTAGAGTTGTCTATCAGTGGTTAACGGGTTAACCGAAGGCTTGTGGTTAACGTATTATATAGACACAATAATCCAGTTGCTTAGTATTTATACAGGAAAAACATAATTGATGATGATAACATAAATAATAATAATAATAATAATAATAATATTCATGATATTAATTCGAAAACCATTTTCAAAATTTCCAACTTTTAAAATATTCATCCCGTTATGACACGCACCATTTTCTTCTCACGAAATCTCCAAGCTTTTGGACAGCATCAATTCAACTTACATTGAGGGAATAATCAATGTTAATTGCACAGTTGTTGGCTTCTCACGTGGATCAGTTATTGGAAGTGCTGTATTAGTCATCGATTACAGTAGCACAAGTGAGAATTTTTCATCAACTGAAGTGTCAAAAGACACTGTTCGCAATGCTGTTGTGGAATACATAGCAGAATTGGTTGCCAATGGTTCGGAGCAAGTGTATTTCGGCACATCAAGTGGCTTGGCAGTAGAAAGTGAGTGCATGTGATATTTTCGAGCTTTATTGAAATTGAATTTTGTGTTTAACGTCGGTTGAATAAACCCGTTTATCCTGCGAGTTGAACGCCACTTTCTCGATGCATCTTGGAAATTGATGATGGGCGAATCCGACGCAGGAAGCGAACTTTGTAGGATTCAACTGATTATTTCCCACGTTAAATATCGCCTGAACAACAATTAACATGCATGTATGATGTGATCATCTATTGGATGCTCTTGATTTTAGTTCATGAAACTGTCTGGTCCTATTTCAAATTTGTTGTTCTAGAGAGACAATAGAAATCTGTTTTATCCTCAGTCACTCGTATAGGACCTTTCCATATATTCTGTTTGGTATAGAATTCCGTTTACATTTTAAAGAGTCTTACAGTCGGTCAGATCACAACGCGCGACGAAATGGAATGTTCAGCGTTCGATCAACGAGGAAATGGAATTGTTCACAAGTTTGAGAAACAACTCCATCACCTGCGAACCATCTACAGCGAAAGTGTCTCGAATTCATTCACTGTCAAATACCTGGTTGTCTGCTATGGCTCGCAGCTAATCATAATCAGGATTAATTGTCATGTATACTCAGTTTTTTGTGACGTGAATAGGTACACGTTTCTCTTTGTATTTGCAGCTGTAATCCATGTGGCAACCACTGAGGTG